TTGAAAATAGTGAAAAAAATGCAAATAGATGGGTTGGCAGAGTAGGAAAATGATATGGAGATGAAGTAAAGTGAAAGAATCAGAGAAACAAAAGATCAGAGAAAAGGATGAGTTTAAAATACTGTAAGTGTTCTTGTAGGCATTGATGATTATCTGGCTGTTTTCTCTCTAAAGCAAACAAATCTGCACAATGAATTGTGTATACCCCACCTCCAGAACTCTTTTCAGTCCACAAAAGAGCCAATGGCATGTAGGGGAATAAGATACAGAGAAAACAATTCTTTGTATCTAAAGGAAGATGTAATAAAGAGGCTAGGGGGAGAAACAGTTTATTAAATCAGAATTGCAATAATTATATTAAACCTTTCAAGACACTGCCCAAGCCACCAGGGATTTCTTAGGTAGATTATGATTTCCTGATTATATGGAGTTGTATATCTACAAACATCTGTTGCATGCTTGGAGAATTGCTAAATAGCCCAGTTCTGATAAGCACAATCATGTAGTTTCATGGCAAAACCATCCATGCTTTCAGGTCACTTAACAATTTCCCTCCTAGGCACGAAATGCTCATTTCAGGAATATTTAAAGAGAATCTTCAGACTATAGTTTCCAAGCTCCTGGATATCTCTTGCCCAGCAGACCTTGCTTGCTAAAGCTATGCGGGCTAGGAGTGGTTCTGAGGAAATGAAGGAAGTGATCAGACCCCTGTTTTTGTTTCTCTGTCTTGTCTTGAACATGGTACCCTCCTGACATGTTGGATAAAGAGTATGATGGCTGGTTTAATACATATCAAAGGTTGGTGTCAGGAAAGTATAAGGCCAAGTTGCTCTGAAGGTCTAGTACAGTTGGGAAAATTCACTGACCTGAGAAAAAAATGAAGAAGAGATTAAGCAGTAGCTAATTTTACAAAAGCAAAATTCACAAAAGGAGGAAGATTTGCTTCTTGTCCTTGTCAGCTACCCCATGCTGGTTTATTTTATTTTTAATAACAAAGGCTGTTGGGTTCTTGCACCATGAAGATGAGCTTACTGAATCCATATAGTGTGTGATTCACAGCAGCCTTATTCATGCTGATCCTTTATTCAGTTAACCTAGTTTTCTTGGTTTGCATGAAATGCACTCGACCATAAATTAATTGCAAGGTTCAGCTACTGCACTGGCTAGACTAAAATATGGTTAGCTAGTTTGTGGTTCAGTGTATTGTATAAATCAATTTATTATTGGGAAATATATAGTTACACTGTTCTCCATACCTTAATCCACACATAAAATATTATTTGAACAGGAATGAAAATCAATAATAGAGCACCTCAAATTTTAGCTTTGAAACCGGTTCCAGCAGTGCCAGAGTTTTGATATTATATCATTTAAAGGTTTACTGAGAGGAAATTGTATTGCCCACAAGGTTGGCATGCAGTCCTTGAAAATCCTAAACAAATCTTGATGCCCTGTTCCTGGAAAATAGTTCACTAATGTCATACAATTACAAGTGTGTTGTACAATTGGAGAACAGAGGACAGAAAGGGAATTCCCGTCTTTTTTCCCAGTGCCTACAGTGCTCCACCTTTGTGGCATGCTACGTGAACCCGTCGAGATTAGTAGAGGCCACTGAATATTGAGTTGTGTGCATCGCCAACCTTTCTTGCACAACTCTAGTCACGGGTGCTTTTACTTCATTTGAAAACAAGAAAGATCTTAGCAGTTATTCTTTTCTCTTACTTGACTAGGAAGTGGAAGGATAAGGCAATTTTATAAATTTTCCCACCTAATGATTTGGACTTGGGATCTTTCCCGAAGATGCTTGTTTTCTCTTCAACTAAATGTTTTCAGTAGTGTGGAAATGTGAGTCAGACTTCCCCAGGGAACCTGTGTGTAGATCTCTCTCATCATGCACATTGAATTAGGCTTTTCTTTCCAATCCTTTCATGTGAGTGTATATGAAGGAACATTCTTTCCTTTTTTCTTTTTTAAATTTTTCTGGGGATTTTGAACAAGCATAAGCTTTCTCTTGGTTTAAATACAGATTAGGAGATCTAGGGAAAAATATATTTGTGTTGCAAAGACTCTCACTCTAATGAAATGTGAGTGCCCCTTCCCAATAAAATATCTGCAAACATTACAAATGATAGCAACAATCTTTGCAACCTAGTTAACAAGCTATCATATATTCAAGGTATCTTTTTATATGCTGTAAAGATTATTGTGTCCCTAGAAGACAGTCAACACACTAGAACTGTTCAAAGTCTTTGGAATCCCTGTTAATGGTTTATTCATTTTTCCTCCCTTTAGGAGTAAGGGACAAGCTCATTATGAAGAGTGATCTGGTTTTCTTTGTCTCTGTAATTAGCCTTGCCTTCCTGTCTCTGCCAAGATCTGGATATGCTCAGCATATTGCAGAAGAATCCTGCTCTGTTCAGATTCTGGTTCCAGGCCTCAAAGGTAATGTGTGTATCTCTCCCCATAAATAAGTCAGACCTTCCTTCTTCACCTTTATTGTTCTGATGGCACTCTAGCAATTGTTAGGGGGGTTGCATTCTCTTACTGAAATATGCCAACTTCTATTTCAAGCTTTCCTGGTCTGGGGCAATTGGCCCATTATAATGAAACAATCATTTGAGCTGCAGCTTAAGCAAACAACCATAGAGGGCTTTGGCTGGTCATAAACAATCTGTTCACAGAATTCCCAATAAGCAACCACACATATCTTATTTGATGTACTAGGTATATCTCTCTAATTTGCTTGGATACTGGCCCCGGAGACATTTTCTGCTTCTTTACTTTTAGTTCTGCACTTACAAAATTTCAGTTTCTTGAAAACATACTGATACCTGAACACCAACAAAAAGCAAACAAATATTTTAGAATAGAATGAGTCTAATTTAGATAAACAGAATGTAGAATTTGGAGGACAGTAACAGAGAGGCCTTATTTCTTATATAAATGTTGGCTGGCTTGTTGCCATTCTTGACCCATTCCGTGATTGCATTACTTGACCATTTGTTACCATGTTTGAGAGCGTCAAGGTTAGATAGAGGTTGGAGATTTTGGAAACGGTATGCCCGTAGTTATTATCGATTTGCTCTTGAGTTCTCTACTTTAACCATATTCTGGGTTTAGAATTGCCCAAGCTCAGAAAAAAATCACTAGCTTCCTATTTGGACTATCCCAGTGCCTTGATGAACGATCTGATATGTAGTGATCAACAGGTGTGGGCTCTTATCATGAAAATAAGAATCATCAACAGTGTAAGGCACAACTGTAGTTTAATTGCAATAAAGGTGGGAGACCTTATGATACAAAACAAAAATAAAAGGCAACACGACTCCCTCATACACCTGATGGTACAATTCTAGGAGAAATAGAAACCGTTTGAGCGATTTCTTGGCTTTTTATTCTTGTTCTTCTTACCAGAGACCTTAGAGAAAACTCATATGTGAGCATACTACCTCTGATTTTGAGATAATTTTTAAAATATTAAAGGGACCACTGGAATTAGCAAAATTTACATCAGATCTCTTATTGATACAAATATAGCTGAATGATTGCTACAACAGTTGCCCCAAGATGGTGTTAGCAGCCACTGTTAATTTTTCATTTCACAGTAGTCCAGTAATGCAGGTTATTTTTTGTTATTTAGTGTGTTCTGATTTTCGTTTGGCGCTGTCAGGATGTAATTTTTGTATTCTTGTTAACTGTTTAGTGAGCTTGTTATCCACTCAACTTCACTGCCACTTTCTCTGTCTGCTCCATGCATTAGATGAAATAAATTAACTTCAGAAGAAATTCATGCCACAATAAAACTTTATCTAAAATGCTGTGGTGCCTCTTACTGCTTTAATGTCATCATCATGAATTCACCCTAGAAAATGGAATCATAGTTGGGTCAGTTTTGCTAGAAATAGCTCCCTGTCTCCAAAATGTACCCTTGAACTGAATCCAAGCAGTGTAATTATTATACGTATACAGAAGATTCCAACTCAAAATAGCCATGCCTGTTTCTTGTATTTTGTTTTTACAGTTATTCATGCAATTCAAAAAATACCAGCATTTTTTTTTTTGCACTCATGAAAAAAACAACATCTGAGTGACCCAGAGAGTTTATTTAAAGTAACTGAAAAGACCTCTGCCTGTTCTCTGTGTTTGAGAAGGGGGATGGGATGCTTGCTTCTGATCTAAATTTTTCAGTGAGTGAGAAAAGGGCTGTGTCTCCTATGGATACTTACTGTTTTTTAAAAGAAACTTTTAAAAGTAACCTCTTTGTCAGATTTTTGCAATTTGGATATCAGGTAGCAATCACCATGGTCAACCATCCCACTTATTCAGGAGACCCTAAGGTAAAAACAAAGGAAGAGTAGTTTCCTATGATCCTTTTATTTCCAATGGCCAGAATACTAAAAATATTTTGAGCTTTGTTCTGCTCAAGCTGTTTCAAGTTTTTATCTGTTAGAACACAGCCAACTTGAAACATCCTAATGGAACAATTTGTGTGGGATTCTTTTGTTCTAAGTTTGAAACACAATATATTTTCTATTTCATGCACATTTCTATTATTGAATAATTGTAGATCTCTAGTATAAAATCTGTTTTGGCTGATGTGAATTCTTACTCCCTTTCTCAGCAAGAAGTTCTGCTCAAATTAATATCTGGGTGTTCATCCCACAGTACTTGTGAACCAGGGCCAAGCATTATGCAGTAGAAGAAAAAAGCCTTTGAACATGAAGTGTTAAGGCAGAGGAACTTATATAATATGAGTGATGGTTTTGTGGGAAAATAGAGAAAGTAAGTATTGGCATGATTTGCAAATAAACTAAGTTAGGATTTATTTTCCTAACTTTCTCATAGGGATATTGTAAGGATAATATTGGAGTCAAGAATACTTGTATTGCTACCTTAAATCCTGAACTGAACACAGAATATACATTCAATAAAACTGAACAAAAATGGTTAGGATTTATTTGTATGTCTGAATATACCACCAGCAATAAACTGAGGTTTAGTTTTGGCAAAGAAACCTAATACAAAGTTGACTTAAAGATAATAGATTCAAGTTGATTTGCAAATCTTATCTTGTTTTTATCCAAGGATGTCTGAAATTTGCTTCCAAGCCTTTTGCACAGAAGTGTAAGGCAAGAGCAGTTTCAAAAGGAACCACTCTTCCAACTAAATTGCAGAGATGGGGAATCTTGATTCCAAATAACCTTTTCATGGAAGAGAATGTAATGAAAGAAAGATTCACATAAGCAAAATGCACTCTACACAGTAGCCAGAAAATTTCAGCAAGAAAGTCTTAAGCACACACAACAAAACTCATACCCTGAGAAATGCCTATGAAAACTCAATTCCACAAAAGTACAGGCAAAACATACATGTCACAAAGCTCTTATAAAGACGCAGCAGAAAATTTACACTTTCCAATAAGCAAGAAACGCATAAGCCAAGCAGTCTTTTATTACTGGGAGGATGTTTGGAATACTGAAAAAAGGAGAAGAAAATAAAACAGAAATTGGCCAATGGAGCTATAATTGTTTTTCTCAGCTGTAAGATTGACTCTTGCTTATTTAACACACCATAGTTAACAAATCTTCACTAATGTCTGGGTGCTGGTGTTATAAGTGAGTTCAGCCAATAAGCTGTGTCGTGCTTATTCATAATCTGAACCCAGTGTGGCTTGTCCTACAAAACCTGGGTTAGAACAACACATGAATGTAGCCATTGTTTTCTTCTTCATTTCTTTCTATTGAAGTGTTGCATGTATGATGGGAAAGCATGGACTTCTGTCATGGGTTTTTTTTTTAACCACCAATAACTAGATTGATACAGACCCAATAGATACAAAGCGCTGGAAACAAGTGATTGGGTTTTTGTATTCCTTCTGTAGCTAGGGGGCAGGGGAGAGACTTTTATTCTACAAAAGGAAAGCTTAAAAAATGCTCATATCTTTCTATATCTCCAATATCTTGTTTATTGCTGACCTCTCTATTTCTGTTGTCTTAATCCCTGTATATGTCTATTGTTACTCTCTTTAGAGTTGTACTTGTTTTCTACAGAGTTTGATCTGTCTTTTATCTTTTTTTAGTTTCTGCTTTCTATTTCTGTCCTGTCAAAGTCTTTATTTTTTCTTCATCTTTTCTGCTTGTTTGTTCCTGACTGGGCTTCTTGATTCTTCTGCTTTTCTTCCAAATCTTTGCTCCATCTGAGGGAAATGGCTCGAAGAGCTCTTACCTCACACCAGTATGAGGGAAGGAAATAAACACATCTCTCTCCCCAGTTTTCTCAGCTGCTGCCTACTTTCCTGTTGCCTCTTCTCATCAGGGCTGTCTAGCTTTTAGTTTTCCCCTTTACTTTGACTCCTGGGCTTTGGCTCTATTTATTCAGCCTGTGGCTGCAGAGCTCCCAGGCAGCCATCTTGTCTTCCCTCCTTCTTGCCTCATCCCAACACTGCTGTTTGATTGGCTGCTGAGTTGCCCTGACAACGGGGGAGGGCCACAAAGGGAGGGGGAGGAAGGAGCACAGGTGCTTCTCACCTGTTCCAGCAGTCTGTCTTTGGACACCTTCTCAGAATGCCTCCTTGGCTTTCTGGGATGCCTCTTCTGCAGTGAAAAGGGCTGGTTTCTACCCTTCCTATTTCTTGATCTTTTTCAAAGGTAATGTCAAAAAAAAGAGTATGACTCCTTAGAAGAAAAAATTGACAGTAATATTAAATTTGGGGGATTTACTTGATAATGAGATTACATATGGTATTTCTTATCAAAAGAAATTGTTCCAATTTCAGAGCACAAATTATATATTCATCCTCATGTCCTGACCCCTTCTTTGTCCTTTGGGCCTCACTGGATTAGAAGAAAAAATTGACAGTAATATTAAATTTGGGGGATTTACTTGATAATGAGATTACATATGGTATTTCTTATCAAAAGAAATTGTTCCAATTTCAGAGCACAAATTATATATTCATCCTCATGTCCTGACCCCTTCTTTGTCCTTTGGGAATCACTGGAAGTTGTCTACCGCAGTTTCCCTATCTGTAACACTGAAACTTTACAGTTATAAAAGTACTGTACTTTTGCACTGCTTTGCTTAGTCTGTCTGAACAATTGGCAGTGTTTTGCGAAAAAATGGTCTGCTAAAATGTACCAGACCAGGGCTAAGAATTATAGTTGCTAGCATGCCTAACTCTTGAGTTCCAGCAATAATTGCACTGTTATCAAGGAATCAGGAACACTGAGATATAAAAGTGAAAAAATGAAAGCCTGAAGGGGGGAAAAACCAAACCAAACCAAATTTGTTCATGCTTCTGCATAGCCTCTCTAATTAGAAGCTGTAATCCTAATGGTGAGGGAGATTGATGAAGAAATGCAGTGAAGCACAAAATGGCCTGTGAAGACTGCAGCTAATGTAAAATCTCTAAAAAGCCATCGGTGCCTGATCTAAATTGTCAGGGGGGTATCTGCCTGGCTTAGATGTACACTAATGAGGTATGGAGTCTTTCATCTGTTGACTGAAATCCAGTGTGTCCTTGACTTCTGTGCAGCTTGAGTCTTAGTACTGCAGAACAATCATATTTCTTCTTCTGGGAGGTGTTGGCAGTTGCTTCTGAGGGTACTAAGAAGTTGAACCAAGGAGTCACCTCATCTGGAATGGCCTTGTGTCTGAGGCTGCATTGCCAAAGGCCGGTTGCCTCATATAGCATGATATTGCTGTCCCTGGCAATAAATGTGTAGTGATGGGAAAGGGCAGCGGCCTTGCTTGCTTGCTCTCTTGCTTGCTCTTAGAGGATGGGAAACCTGCTCTCCCCTTGCTATGCCTGCCAGCGGTCCTCAGTAAGGTGGAGGATGCACTCACATTAACGGTGTTGAACTCTTGGGTGAAGGACTCATTCATCCTTACCTCAGATAATAACATTCTTGGCTAGACCCTGGTTACTTGCTAAAAGTGACCTGGGTACTACACTCCATACCTAGAACTGTCCTTATATTTTCTCTCCTAAGGAAAAGAATTAGATTTTGTTAGTGTATCCGAGGACACTTCAAGGACCTTCACTACTCTGTTTTGTAGTGAGATGTGATACCCCTTAATTTGTTCTATACTATAGGCTAAGGACCCTGATGTCTTAACATTTTTTAAAGTAAAAATTGACAGAATGGGAACTGAGTAAATGCAGATCTGTTCGACAACTTATTATTTGTAGTAGTCTTGCCTGGATGAGTGATATGTCTGATTGACATTCTGTGATCATAGAGTATAGCAGTGTTGCTTGCCCCCAAAAGACAAATTTGGAAAGAGTGGCTGATTATCTGAAACAAAATTATGACCACTAGCTCTGGCTGTAAAAATCTGGACAATCCAAGGTAGCAGGAAAGAGATACAGAGAGCTCTGATCCCTTCTTCCGTCTAGTTTTTGCAGACTAGATCTGGTAGCCAAAAGCTGAACCTTCCCACCTTCTGTTAGTTATTTGTTATCTGCATATATGCCTTTCTTTTAGCCTTGCTGTTTAAAACCCTTGTTATGTTCCCATTGTCTATAAAGTTCGAGGTCCTGTAGGAAAACACCTATTTTTTCTGGGGCTTTTGGCTTTTTTAAAAAAACTTTCTCCTAAATGTAAAAGATGATAGAGATCAAATGCTGAAGCAATGAGAAAATGAACACCACATTCACAGATAGAACAAAATTAACAATATTAATGATGCTGTCATTTTCATGACAAAAGTTGCTTAAATTTTGTATAATTTGTTTTTGTTTTACCTTATGTTTTATTACATAATAGGGGAAAATGGAGAAAAGGGGGAAAAAGGTGCTCCAGGCCGCCCTGGACGAGTTGGACCTCCAGGGGAAAAAGGTAAACCTTATTTTAAAAATGAATTAAACATGTTCACATTGCCTAAAGATGAATGGAGAGTAATCTCTTTTATCAAACTTTTGCATATTATCTTGTTGTGTATCTAGGTTTGTACCTAATCAAACTCAACCTTAAGTTCTTGGTTTATTAAAACTGCATTCATATGGAATGGTTTATTTGAGAACTATGTTGTATTGATTGAGATTTGTAGTGGAAAGTATAAAAATATTTAAGCATTTAGATTTGCTCCCCTTCTTTTGGTGGCTAGAATTAGGAAACTGATAGTAAACTTACACAAGAAAAGAGAGGAATGTATGGGGGAGGGAAAACTCTTTTTGGAGAGAGAAATCTCCAATAAACCTTCCTTAAATGTTGAGCCTCAGGAAGACTGCTTTGTAGCACAACCTATGGTGCCCACAGAGCTGGATGACCCATAGTGCATGTTCCAAGCCCAAGTCTGAACACACCCCAGAGAAATGCCAGTAGCAGCAGATCAATAGTCACAGGCAGGTGGTGACAGCAAGGAGCTGAGAAGAAAAAGAAGGGAGAAAGAAAATGTTGCTTACCAATATTTAGGTTAGGTTGTACAACTTCTGTTAGCCTGAGGGCCAACGCATACATTGTATGATAAGTTGAGGAGCAGATTCCAAGAGTAGCAGAATCAAGGGCTATTTTGGAAGGGAGGTTTAGGAGTTTAAGGGGGCGAATGAGTGTTTAAGCATCAATAAGGTTCAAGGTTCCCATTGTACTCCATAAAACTTTTAACCCCGCAAAATACAAACATGCATACACATCATCCTGTTCCCTTTGGGGGTAAGCAAAATTATGTAAAGATATTAAGCCTAAGAAATTAAAATGTAAGATAAGAAAAAGGAAAGGAAACTTTGCTATAATTAGTTCACACCAATACAATGCGCTATCTTTCTCCATACATTTTTATCCTTGCTTCTGTCACATCCATCTGCTCTTCATTTCTTCTATAAACCTCTCTTCAGCTCCATCCAACCAGAAGTCTTCCTCTTCCCCTTCCCCTCAACCTATTCACACTTCCTTGACGTATTTATTTTGAAATTTGATCCTCATCCTTTCTCTCAGTGTAAATCTTTCATACTGGTCGCTCCCTTTTGTATTTAATCCACCATATTCATTCAGCTTATATTTGTTCTCAACCTTGTTTTAGCTCAGGTACTTCTTAAGTACCCCACTTCCACTGCATTCAGAATAAGTGTATATATGTCCTGATATATTTCACTTCCATATAATGAAGTCTACAGAATGTCAGCCCTTCAAGGTAGGACAGATCAGGAAACAGATACTGTAATGCAAGGAACGCTACTTTATAATTGCAGGGTATAATAACAGAATCTTCAAAGCCGGTTAGAGTTTCTCTGCCCCATCTTATACCAAACAGAATCAAGACGGGGTTATTTTGAATTTTTTTCTCACACTTTCCGCTTTTCCAGGACTGAGTTGTTTATTTTCCTTGACAGTTCATCCGTTCTTTCATCAAGATTATCTCGACATTCCTTCATGCAGAAACATTTTCTTATATACAGTTATGTTTGCTTTTTTTTAAAAAAAACCACTACTTGTCCCTCATCATCGACCATATACTACAGACTATATTTAGGAAACATTTTATCAAGATACACAAATTTATCTATGTGTTTTAATTTTACACCATTTATATGTAACCTGCAATCATTCACTTTATTTTCCCTGTCAAATGCAACTATCTTGGCTTTTGATATACTGATTTTCAAATCCATGCTCCTCATTGCATCATATTATCTGGACCCCTTCAGTCTGGTTTCAGATATAGCATTGAATCAGCCTTGGTCACATTTTTTATGACCTCTTGGTCATGGGCTTGGGATAGGACAGTGCATCCCTCCTGGCCCTCCTTGATCTCTCAGTGGCCTTTGATACCATCTGCTGTGGTACTGTTCTGGATTGGCCCAGGGGATTGGAAGCAGGACTCATGGTGTTCTCCTCTTTTCTTCAGTGTTGGTTCCAGTTGTTGGGGGGGACAAAGGTTTAGCTCTAGGTCCCTACCTTGCAGGACGCTGCAGGATTCTACTCTCTCCCCACTTCTGTTTCATATCTTCATGCTGGGGAACATGATCCATCAGCACAAGGCCATGTACCATCAGTATGATGATACTCAATTGTACTTTTCTGCCCTGGTCAAATGATGCTGTCTTGGTTCTTTCCCAGTGTCTGGAGGTGGTAGAGTATGAATGTGGAAGAACAGGCTTTGACTTAACCAAAACAAGAGTGATTGCTGTGGGTTTTGCACCCCCTCCCCCCAAGATCTAGATCTGGGGATTTCAATCTTTGGATCTAGGGATTTCCATTTTTGGTTTTGGGTGGTGCTGCACTCCTCCACTCAGAGTCTGTAGGCAGTTTGGGAGTCCTCTTGGCCAGGAGGGCCTTTGCAGAACTCCATATTGTTGCACCAATTGCCCCTTTTTCTGGATTGGGAGACCCTGCTCATGATCACTCATGTCTTGCCCTGGTTGGGTTTCTGCAATGTGCTCTGTGTGAGGCTGTTCTTGAAGCTTATCCAGAAGCTTCAACTGGGACACCCATTTAATACTACTATTATGTGAGCTGCACTGGCTCCCAGTTGCCTTCCAGGTGCTGGTTATCACCTATAAATGTGGCACAGGGGCAGGTTATTTGTGGGACTGCCTGTTTCTGGTTATTTCTGTGCATCCCATGATGCTGCACAGGGAGAGCAAGCCCCAGGTTCCCTCTCTGAAACAATCCCACCTGATGGGATCTTGGAAGTCAGCTTTCTCTGTTGCTGTACTTGCCCTTTGAAATGAGCTCCCCACAAAGGTTCAGGCAGCATGAATTCTATTAGTGTGTCATAGAACCACAAAGACCTGACTTTTCTCTCATGTACAGGACCAGGATGGTAACTGAGCCCATTCTGCTGTGAGAGTGAGTGTTTATTTTTTTTAGCCTCAGCTTTGTTTGTGATTGGGCTTTGTTATATTGATTTTATATTACTTTTTGTTTGATTTGGATTTTTTATTTTTGTTTTTTATTGACACACTGTCAAAGATTAAGAGTTGAGCAGTCTTATAAATTCCTTACTTAAAATAAATAAATAATCTAACATTTGCTGCAAATCATTCAGGCTGTCAGCCAATAGCACAGTACCATCTGCATATCAAAATATACTTACATTTATGCCCCAACTAACACACATTTAACATCACCTCAAGAATTCCTTATACACTGATCCATAAATATATTAAACAACCAAATGGACATCACTTAGTGGTATACAACTCTGCAGGAGGAGGGCCATACAGTAGTTGGTAATATTCTAGGCCCAATTCCAAAAACTGGGGGAGGCTAAGAAAAAAATAATAACTTAAAGCAGCTAATGTCATTATTCATGGTCTGTTTAATAATTTTTACCTACTGTTACATTAAGATTTATGACTTGGCAATGACTTCTGAAGGTGTTTTGGTAGGCTACATCAAAACATTTGTCCTTGGAGCCTTAAGCTGTGAACCTGCACCCTGAAAATTTCAGCAAAGTTATGGGACAGAATATGAATTGGGAATCATTAGCTTGTCTCTTTGTAACAGAATTTACTGCATTTTAAATCTTAAGCAACTAGAATTGGTTTCACCAAGCTTTTCAAGAGTCCGCTGAGTTGTTCAAAAAGGTTCTTTCTCATGTTTCTCTAACCACAGCAAAATAAGCCTCCGTGATAACTTTTTTCCACATGTCTTCATAATGTTGCTTTCATTTCATCCTTACCCCATAGCTGAGGCAGCTTAAACTCATTCTTAACTCTTTCAGTTTTAAAGCAGCATTTTCCCTCTTCTCCAAATACAATTATTATTCTGGGTATGATCTGGCATCCTTCACAATGGGGGTGAGGTCTGCTCAGCTCCTCTGGGCCATTTTAGGTTGCTGTGAACTTGTCCCCTCCCCTCCCATTGCTGGGCACAGCTCCCAGGGCCATTTGGCATGGGTGGCAGGAGAGACCAGACACTGGGCTTCCACAGAGGCATAGCAATGTGTAATGCTGACCAGGTCTTGAAACATGGATTTAGCATTCTTTAGTCCTAGACCTGTTTCTTTAAGCAGGAGTTGGACATGTGTTTTGAAAAACTCTCTTAGAGAGGGCTAGTTCTGTGTTGCACAAAAGCTGAGTTTAAACTGGAAAAAAGCTGACTTTTGCCCTCTGTGGGTTACTAGTTCCATCACCATTGGGTACATTATGGGATTTCTGCTGCTTTTGCTGACAAGGGGTTTGGTGTGGCCATGCTTTCTACTGAAGTTACTTTTGAGCTGTTGTGGGGGATAGCACCATTTTGCCAATTGCATTCTGGCCTTGGTGACACTAGGACCATGGTGATTAATGCTGTTACCATATGCATGCCAAATCAGTTGTATGTTCTCCACAGTTGTCCATGCGTTATTTTCAGGGGCTGCTGGGCATGAAATCAGAATAGAATTCCCTGATGACTTTCTGCCAGCACAACCATTCCCTTGCAGCATTAGTTAAAAAAAACCCCAAAACCCTGTTTATTGTTACTTCCTGCTTTACCACACAAGCCTCCTCTCTCCTCTGCCTTTGTTGGCTGTCAACCAGGCTATTTTTGAATATGAGTTTAGTGCCCTTGCAGAAGAGCCCTAGATTTGGGTTCAAAAATAGCTTGGCTGAGAGGTCACAGTTGTAGAGGAGAGACTGTACCCAGCAAGAACACTGGGAGAGCTCTCACCCACTTCACTCTGCCTGCAACCTGTTTTGGGGCAATTGACTGGTGGCTAAACCCATGATTCTAAGCACCTCCTACACTTGTCCAATCCTGCCCCACCCCACGTGAGGAGAGTGACTGGTGGTAGTTTTTGCACCAGCAGGTGAGAAGAGGGGAAAAAAGCTGGAGGAATCCACCAATCTCTTTCCTTAACATGGTCCACAATGGGTGCATGAGGAATCTACCTTTTGCCAGCCTTGCTGCTGTTG